ACATGATACTGTTGGCATAGGCTGTATTTTACAGCTTTTTGTACCCACCCCTGTTCCTTGTGATGGGGGCAGACGGGAATGCTTGTGGTTTGTTTGCCGTCGAACCAAAATGATACCTTCAGTGTCAGGAATCGTCATTGGCGGGCGCTGGGGAGGGAAGATCCCACCATCTACCTTCGGCAGTACCCGAGGCGTATGATAGTCCGTCAGCTTACTGTCAGTGCCTCGGTGTTCGTTATAGACTCCGAGTGAAATCATCAGACAGAAAGTTTCAAGCCAGGATGCCAGGAAATCCCTGTGTGGAGACTTTTGGGAGTTCTCCTGAAAACCTTCTCTGCGGTCGACGGCGTGGCAGCCAGCGCGTCACGGAGAATGTTCGCCGGATGTCTCGCGAATCACACAGAATCTCCCAATAAAATTGTAACCAGCTTCGGTGGGTCTGTAACATAGTTCCTTTTACCATTCTGGCTGGACTCCCCAGCGCCGGTGCGATTATTGACAGGGCTGGCGACCGTTGAACCTTTGCTGATATTTGGGGTAAAACTTGGGCGTCAGGACATTGTACAAGGTCATGATTGCAGACGCCCAGGTGTGGGCAACCGACTGAAGAATCATTTTCAAATGCTGAGTCATGGTGATTGCGTGCTCAGTTGCTGAAATGTTGTGCTTGTAGATTTGAGGAGTAGAAGCCAATGAGGTGCAACCAAAGGTTTTGTGATATAGTCACATCTCTATGCAACCGGAAGCAAGGGGTAAATCTTAAAGGTAAATTTCATTTCATGAATCATTATAAAACCAACCGCAATACTAGAATAATTACAAACGAGACCTAATTGCTACCTTTGATCCATCATTAACGCCCGCAGCCAGCTGATACAGAGGCTCTGCCGTCACAGTTGCCTTGATCCGGCGGCCAAAGTACTCAATCTCAACTCCGTCTCCTTCCTTAAGCGTACTCGGTAGATAGCTGTAGGCAATCGGCTTGCCGATTGTGTACCCAAATGCTGCGTTGGTCACATAACCGACAGCCTTGCCGTCCAAGAACACCGGTTCCTTTCCAAGCACAACAGACTGACCGTCATCAACTGTGAGACAGCGTAGTCTCCTTGCCGGCGCAGACTGAGATAGCTTCTTGACAGCAGCATGGCCAGCATAGCCCTGCTTGTTCGTGTCGATGGCAAGAGCGAGTCCTGCCTCGAACGGGTTGTTCTCCGTCGTGACATCGGAGCCGTAACTCCGGAACCCTGCCTCAAGCCGCAGGGCATTGAATGCACTGCGACCAGCCGCGATAACACCATGCGGTCGGCCAGCTTGCCAAAGTGCATCCCATAGACGCTGGCCATTCTCAGCGCTCGTGTAAATCTCCCAACCTGACTCTCCAACGAAGGACAATCTAATTGCCAGCACCGGGATGCCGGCAATGATGGCTGCCTTGACGTGGGAATCCGGCAGCGCCTTGTTAGTGAAGTCGTCCGAGCTGATGGCTGCCACAATATCCGCGGAGCGAGGACCCCAAAGTCCGATGCCGCATGTTCCTCCGGTGGCATCTCGCACTTGAGCCCACTTACTCGGGTTCTTCTTGGCCTGGAGACGGGCTTCCCTCGCCAGGTACGCTTGGTCAATGGGCCCGTTTACAGCAAGTTGGAAAACGTCCTCGAGCAGACGTGCTACGAAAATATCGCTCTTGACGCCACCCTGCTCGTCTAGAAGCAGGGTAAAAGTGACGCTGCCCGGCTTTTTAGAGACGTCGCTTGTTGTCACGCGCTGAAGCAGATCGACAGCTCCAGGGCCAGAGACTTCCACCCGACGGATGGGCGTCAAGTCGTACATCGCAGCCGCTGTACGCGTCTTCCACGCTTCAGCAGCTGCGATCGGGGAGTAGTACCGCGCAGACCATGCATCGCGCTGCCTTGGCTTCCACTTGTCCGGCAACTGCTTAACAAGATCGGCGTTTGACTCGAACCACTGCGGTCGCTCCCAGCCGCCGGCTTCGAGGAAATAGGCACCAAGCTCGCGCTGGCGGGCGTGGAAAGGACTGACGCGCAGGTTGCGCGGAGATTCTTTGGGTTGAAGGGGATGCAAGACGTCGTAGACTTCGACAAAGTTTTGTTGGCAAGTCTCGTTGACGTAGGCGGGTGTAAGTTGAACCTGCTCAAAGCGGGAGATGTCGCACTCGGACAGGTCGATTTCTGCCCTGCCCGTGGTGAGAAGCTGGGCGACTGCGCGTGCGACACCGGCCGAATGTGTTACCCAGACTGCCTCTGCTACCCAGAAGCCCTCAAGATTGGGTGCTCTTCCGACGAGAGGTCCGCCGTCGGGAGTGAAGGACATGATGCCGTTGAAACCGTAAGCGATCTCCGTCTCGCCCAGAGCAGGAAGGATCTTCTTAGTCAAGTCCCACGCCGGCTTGAAGTCCTCGGGCGTGAAGTCCATCCGCGAGGGCATGTTGTCCTCGTTGACATGCTCCGGGGTCTCGCCCAGTGAAGCGGCGACCACGGGCAGAGGACGGTGGCCGTAAAAGCCGATGCCGTACGAGTCGCCATGTTCACGATAGTAAAGATCGCGGTCCTGGTGTCGCAAGATTGGTAGTCTGGCTCCGTTGGGCTCTGAGTTCTTCCCCTTCTGCGCGGGGACAGGGGTCGTCTTTGCGTATTGATGACCGACGGGCAGCAGAGGGATGGGAAGGCCAATCATGGCTCCCACTTCGACTCCCCAGAAGCCAGCACACGACAAAACGATATCGGCGGGGATTTTGCCGTTCTTGGTGGTGACACCGGTGACATGGCCGTCCTTCTGCTCAATACCGGTGACTGGGGTCCGGTCGAGGTACCGAACGCCGGCCTTCCGGGTGCGCTCAATCAGCAGCTGGACTGCGCGGGCGGCCAGGGCTAAGCCGTCGGTTGGAATGTGCAGGCCGCCGAGGACGATGTCTTTGTTCAAAAGTGGGTAGATCTGCTGGCACTCATCGGCGCTAAGAAGGTGTGCCTCAATGCCCCATGACGAGGCGTAGCCGTGTTTCCGCTTGAGATCCTCGAGTCTCTCTGGGGTTTCTGCGACCTCCAGGCCGCCCACCTGGTTGAAGCACTCGATTGATAGCAGCTTTTCCACCGTGTACTTGGCGAAATAACTCAAGGTTTTGGAGCCGTTGGTCTGAAATACGAGGCCGGGGGCGTGGGATGTTGAGCCCCCTGGCATGTCCAGCGGCCCCTGCTCGACCACGGTGATATTGCTCCATCCGCGCGAGACCAGCTCGTCGGCGATATTGGTGCCAACGATGCCGGCTCCGATAATAACGACGCGCTGTGATGAAGCCATGGTCGGCACGTATAAGTGAAGTATCACGAGGCCGAAAGAGGATTGTGTGAAGAATGATGGAAGTCTTCCCTTCTTCAATGCACTACATGCTCTACAAGTTGCACGATGACTTATAACAACCAGGTAGAGCTCACCACAGCACTGTCTCCAAACCCCGCATCAGACTAGTTTGCATCATGTTCCGATAAGGTACTAGAAACTAACCCGGCTATTGATAGTAACTTCAAGACGTATCCCGGTCAACTCGACCTGGAGCGGTCACATGATCGGCTTAAGGAAACCGATGCCGACCGGTCTCGACGCGCGTGGCCAAGACTGCGCACCTTCAATACCACCACCTCATCGCCACGTAAACTTCATACACACCCGATTCGGCCGTGATACGGTCATTTTTCGCAAACAAAGATAGCCCGGATAGCCCCGGTACCGCGACATCTGTTTACCATACCCCCGGGTTCGGCGAACGGAGAGCGGGCAGTGGCTGGCGGGACAAGCAGGACGATCCCCTCTCAGATCACCCGGTTCCAAGCATTCGTTGGGCACTTATCAAGCATTCTTCTTCGGGTTGATGCAGTACATACTATGCAGTAGCGGCGCCTCGATGTGGAGTGATGATAACGTGGGGCTCAGCAGCCCCCTCCCAATTCCCGGCTTATGCTTCTTCCACATACCCACACATCGAGATCACATTCTCGTCAACCAACCTCCGTTGTCGGATTTGGGAAACATCATGATGCCGCTGACACGCTGGACGAGTCCGATTGATCCGCGATCCAACCAGACCACCATGATTACTGATGTGATGAACCAGGATGCCGTACCGACCGTCTCACACCCCAGCCAACCACCTCCTTCATGATGTTTATCATACGGTGGGAACGCCATGACACGAGGACACCAAGAAGAGACGATCAGATAAGGGAAAGTGTTGGCGGTGAGCGCAAACAAGTGCGGACCCTGAATTGTCAAGAGGAGGCTAAGGTAGGAGGGAGCGAAGCTAGCCGGCGCAGAAGAGGAACAAGTGGTTAGAGAGGATGGATGGCCGGTCATGGGGGAACGAGATGAACACCCGTTCTCACTAATTCCCAACTGCCGTTAAGCCGCTCGAGCAGCCCAGACGCCTCACTCCTGACCCTATCACTCAGAGTCCATTTCTCAGCCACGTCCGACCCCGGCTTAGCCCCAATGGGCCAAGAGTCCGACAGTGACACCTCAGTTGCAGATACCAGGCTGTGCGGGATGATCCCTGTTCACTCCGCATGATCCACCCTTGAGTCTGGACTCACAAGAGGCGCGCCGTTCCGTAACGGGCATTCTGTGCAGTAGGTGGGTTCCCCTCGGTGAGGGAATCATCATTATATTGCCTAATGGATACTCCGCCCTGACGATCCAATAGCGACATGATGCAACACAGTCTTCAAGACGTTTCGCAGCGGATCCTGATGCCGTCAACCTTTTCCTAAACCATGTCTCTATCACATGCGGAGCAGTCCACCGTCGCCAAGATATGATCGGAAAACTGCAGTGGAACTTGAGCATCTTGTTCGTGTCGGCCGTCACGTAACCCCGAACACCGGCATGCAAAACAGGCAAGCATGTAAGCAATCCCCAATTTACCCTCTTGTCCTCTACCAAGACACCGTTGTGTCCACGAAACGCCCCCCAAGCAGAAAATAAATGCAACGCTAGAACTGATTAAACATGATATTGTTGAAATTGTCACCTTCCCACCACGCATTCCCGGGCTCCGACTGGAGGTCAGGTAGTTCTCCGATATTGATGAGTTGGGAAGAGTCCGCATACAGCCATGGTGTGGTGTTGAAGGTAAGGCTGTCAATTTGCTCGACGGATGGTGTGTCAAAGACATTTTGCCGAGAGGATGAATTGGCCGAAGACACGTTGTGCTTATTGTTATTGAACTTATTGTTGTTATGGCTCGGTTTGTAAGACAAGGTGGGCGCCTCTTGGCCTCCATCTGCAGTGTTGATTGTGATTTCGGGTGATGTTGCCACAATGATCTCGAGCGTCGAGTTCTCACTGGTGTCAACTGGTGGAAGTGCCGGTGTGAGAGAGGCGTCCAGGAGCCCTGCGGTGGGAATTTCTTGCGAGTCTGTTGTCGAGTTGAATTGCAGAATCTCCCACATGAGAGGGACGCTGAGGTAGATCTTGGAGGGCATCCAGTCTTCAACGTCCATGCCCTCTGAGCCGGCGGCAATGCGCGTCATTCTGTCGAGGTTGCGATCCTGCAACATGTTAGTATTTGCATCTGCAGCTTTCATTGAGTGGGGAAACTTACCAAGGCATCGCAAGCAGCGGAACAAGGTATGAAACTCTTCAAAAACCTCCTGCACTTGGCGAAGTCGGTGTTGGACTTATGCTTCAACCTCGCAGCTGCAGCACAACAGTAATACAGATGTACTGTGGCTGCAATCGCCGCAACATGTCCAAAGAACGGATCTACCAGCGGCACCTGCTTGTCCACAACCATGTCTATCATGCGAACGATCCAAGTGGCATGAAGCAGGGCTTGCTCAGATGATCTCCTCCAAAACGTATTAGGGATTCCCAGATTGGGATTGTGCTGTGCTCCGACAATGTAGAGAAACGGATGATTCAAGACGGTAGGGATTGCATGGTATGTAAACTGCTCCTTCAACCAGCAGGCCCAGTAGTCCCGGTTTACCTTCAGCTCATCGATCTTGCGTTCGTAGAACTTGACCGAATCGTAACGGTGGCACATGGGGATGCGGTTCTCTGTCTCCATAAAGTCAGAGAGAACCTTGGCATACATGGAGTCATGACGCCATGGCTCCTTCAGGATGTTATGGGAGCAGTCGGACACGTATTTCCTGACCTGGCTCCAAACCCATCCCAGACGGACACTCGTGTTCCAGATTCCAGGCTCACTTGGTGTTGACGTTCCGAGGTTGTCTCGGGGTAACGGTGGCGCTTTGGTTTCTCCGTCCGTGTGGTTGACGCCTCCCGTAGAGTACGCCGGTCGCCATATGTCCGTTGGCACACTCAGGAGACCGTCTTGCCGGCCGTACGACTGCTCCAGCAACTGAAGACTCCAGAAAAGTCGTTTCTTGCGATCTGTCGTCGGATCATCTAAAAGATACACCGACTCTATGTCAAGCATAGCAGATCGACAAAGCTGAAGAGATAGGCCGAGGTGAAATTGGCCAAGGTGGACGTTTCCGTCTGTACCAGTTAGGAACGAGCACATATCACGTCAGCCAAGCATGAACATACCTATGAATGATGAATAAGAAAGAAGACAAAGGCTCTCGATGGTCGTGAGGTCTACTGTGCCGTTTGCTATCCTCAGCATGATCAAAGTCTTTGCATTATTACTGTACAGTTGCAAATGGTCGCGCTTATCGGAGAATCGTGAGGTCAGGGCGAGGATGCTGCTGGCTAGGTCTTCCGGGAGAGTCCTGTAGTCGCCAACCTCCTCACGCTCAAAGCACCAGATCGGTTGTCTGTGACAATACTTGAAGTACAGGTCAAGACCCGTCTCCATGTCATCGGGGTCGAACACGACCGCCGTTGACGAATTGTCAGACGGATAGCTGACGCTCTGCTTGCGCCCTGGAGGGGTTGCCGAGTAAGACTTCTCTGACGTGTCGGTGACCGCCTCGAGCGATTGCTGTCGTTGTCGCGGGCGCTGGTTCATCCTAGGAACCCGGTCAGATCGTCTGAACGTTTCATTTCGCGTGCGGTGTCGCAATACAAGCCGCCTCCACTGAGAAGGAGATCCAGTTTCTCTTCCAGGTGTTGCAGTCTCTCATCCTAACAACGGTTAAGATGAGCGAACTTAAGCAGTGTGTGAGCGGCATCTCATCGACGTACCGATCGCCCGCTCTGGGACGGCCTCATCGCGGGATAAGAGCATGACTGCTGAAGCCGAACGCAGCTTGAGCACGCCGGCTTCTCCCCGGGACATCGCGTCTTCTTCCGTCTGCATCAGCCGTATCAGCGCCGGTCCGCCCGTGCGATAAGCCCAAAAGGGCACACAATCATGATAACAGACCTGCAAGTGAGGCAAGCATGGTGTGAGCGTCGTCTCCCCCGAGAACTGATGGAACTGGTGCCCTCCTCTGGCGGCGGCATATCGGCACTGGGAGGGTTCTCAGCCGGAAAAGACGACGTGAAGTCACTGAGCAACCCTGGAAGGTATGTGCTTCCAACTAAATAGTTAATCCCTTGCCACAAACCCCGCATGCATGGCGCTCCAATGGGTGGAGGAACCCCCCTCCTCACCCCTCACACCCCTTCCCATACACCTTTCCCTATACATCTGGGTACAAGGCTGGCCATGCGATAAGAAACGGCAAGTGCCACACTAAGCATGACGGAGATAGGACCAATCCGGGTCACGTGTCCGTTACGTAATGGAACACTAGCTGATCCGTGAACATGCGTCTGTGAGTTAGGTTTCTTGTTCTCAATTCATGACTCTATCATCATTCATACCTAGATTAGACTACGGTGGTGCGCATCCTTTCTATATCTTACCAACGCCGCGGCAAAACTCTTTTGTTCGCGATGCTCTACAACTTTGACACTGTGTCCAAGAGGTCGTTCATCTCTGAATTGGGATACTCGCAGTTGTCCGAAGAGTCCGGACGTTCCCTGTCCCACGCCCACCGTCCCTCGAGCTCCGGTTCCAGAGTGCCCTCAAGCATCTGGGTCACATACTTGCCAAGCACAGGGAAGAACTTGTAGCCGTGGAATGAGCCACAAGTTGCCACATACAGACCCTTGGCACCCGAGTGAGGCGAGATGATAAAGTCCGAGCTGGTTGTGAAAGCATCCCTTCTCGTGTGTCAGCCAGTGGCGCGTCAGTCGGAAGTGTCTTACTTACCAGCAGATGCGGTGCTTGGTCATATTCCAGCCCTCGCTCTTCTTGCCATACCACAAGTTCCGTTGGTCAATGATGTCTTGCTTGAGTTGTCGAGAAACCTTCCATTGGGCATAGTCCTTTGCGGGTGGCGGCGCTGAGACCTTGCGCCCAGGCAACACTTCCCGTGTGTTCGAGAAGATCTTAGCTCCCCACCACTTGAGCTCCCTGTCCGCCGTGGGCGGGATGCTGCCAATGAAAGGCTTACCTGTGGCAGCGGTTAAGTGGTCGGTTCAGTCGCAAGGGATTTTGAGAGAGCGGTTAAGCTTACCGTGGACCGCCGTGTACCCCTGGAATCCAACAGGCATGTCTTTGTACTTTTTGTATTCTTCCTCCTCCAGCTGCGCCATACCCGTTGTGATGCCTGCTGCCAGAATCCTGTCTCCTGATGACAAGGCAGCGTTGCCACTTTTGGCTGCGCTCAACTCTAGCAACTTTGCGGTGTACGCTCCAGTGCAGAGAATCACGTGCGAGGCCGACAATGACTGGCCGTCTGCTGTTGTAAGTCCTGTGCAAGTTCCCTTGCTGTCGAAGTTCAGGGATGCAGTTTCAGCAACCACGTATTTGACGCCCAACTCAATGGACTTGCGGGTGACAGCCCTAAGAGCGTCTCCGGCCGCAGCCCAGCCACTTGCGCGATTCACCAGCACCTCTTTGGCACCTGTGTAGTCGGCATCCTCAAAGAGGCCACCATACAGCTTCTTGGCCTCAGCAATGGGAAGCGCAATAATGTCATCTTTGCGACCAAGCTTGTGGTGGTGGCTGATGACATTTTCAGCGTAATCGCTACGGCAGATCCAGTAGACGCCCGTCTGGTGGAAATAGGGCTTCCAGAGGGGGTCATTTTTGAAAATGTCTTGTGCCTCCAAAGCTAGTTTGCAATAAACAAAATCGTCGTAGTCGGCGCGGACCACCTTGTTCCAGTCCCAGGAAGCGGCCACACGCTCATCGGCGTCAAACGCATCCCTGTCGACCAGGGTGACCGATGCATCTGGGTACTTCTGGATAAGGTGATAGGCGGTTGATACGCCAAACACTCCCGCGCCAACAATGAGATATGATGGCTTGTCTGAGGACATGATGTGTGAATGGGGAGGTGATTGGTGGAAGGAGGGAAAGGATTTAGAGGAGGGTTTCTTCGCAACTGAGCAGAGACGGTCTCGGCGGCAGCAAGTCAACGAGACGGTAATGGGAGACGGCAGAAGATAAGTTCAAATGATGCACCGATGATCTCGTATCTTCTCGTGGACGGAACGGACACGATGGCCTGCTCATCGGTGCATCGTGGGTGGTTCCCCGCGTACACGTATGGCCAACGCCCCGGGAAGGGTCCCGATGTCGGCTGCTCTTCCGCACGTTGCCGATCACGTGACGCCCGAAGCCGTCTAGATGGGTGTTCTTCCTCTTTCCAAGGGCACGCGACAGTGAATCGGGCGAGCGAGTTGCTCGGAGACTCTAAAAACAAACTGGCGCTTCGATAACGATATCAGACAAAGGCTGAACTGTTTCGTCCTGAATCTTGGTGCCCAAACATCGGAGCCCTGCACAGGGAACCCCACCCCGAGAGCTGAATCGTGATAAGAATGGACCCATGCCACGTATCAGATAGTCTCTAATTCCTCCCCTGTACCCAATGCCATTAACCTTTTTGCCATGCAGCACAAGACGGGACCACGCCTGGCCGCGTGTTCTAGAACAGATAGGACCCCTAATGTGCCTCGTGTGCCGTGTGCCGGTGTGACAGCTTCTTCCATGGACATGGATGCAACCTCGACGCAAGAGATCGCCGTTATCGTTCAATAGGTTTTGGGTGGTGACTGACGGTTGACGAATGGCGACAACCGTCTAGCCCAGCTAGGTCGATAAGACGCTGGTCAGCAAGTGTGGCGCCAACCAGTGCAACCAATGGGCGGAACATAGTTATCTAGCTATCCAATAATAGCAATCCCTCGCAACATGTTTGGTTCGGTGGCAGTTGATAGGAGAGTTTCCCAACTGCTGCCAAGTGCAAGGGGTCCTTTGGATAAGCGTTGTCGAGTGGGAGCCGTCCAAACACCAAAACCCAGAAAGGTCACCGTCCGTGATGTCGCGAACCAGACCGTGAGCACCGACGGCAATTCTAGTGCTGGCCCGTACAACGGCCAACCCATGGCTCCAGGAACCGACCTTGAGCAGGAGCTTGACTCATCGTCGACGAGCAACCTCCACCCGTGCATGAAGTCCTGGTCCAACGCTGCGCGGTCTGGAGTTTCTTTACCGATAACGCGACAACCTTTCGAAACTTCATCTTGAAATTGAGTGGACAAGATAATGTCACGATGATCTCAAGAAACCATTGGCGTTGTCACACGTCACAGCAAGGTGTATGCGCCGGTGAACGGAAGAGTCGAGAATCATCACCAAATTAGGTAATATTTGACGCTAGTTCAGGCTCAAGGTATGTGCGCCACATGCATTGGACAGCTTCAGACAGTGATGACTAGATCAAGTGATGATCGTGTAGGATTTTCTGGGGTAAACAGAACGCCATCCAAGCGCTCCAGCATCGCCCGGACCGGACTGGTGTCTCCGCACGCTCCGCGCCCAGGGCGTCCGATAAGCAAAAGCGGCCAAGACGAACAGGGTGGCCGGTCATGTGATCGGCTTCAGCACCGCGGAGTCAGCCACTCGATAGCATTCAGCCTCCAAATCGTGATAGCCCCCTTCGGTGTAGCGAAACTGAATACCGCGCCCAAGTGATCGGTGGTGGCCCGGGGGCGGCGGCGACGGTGCGAGAGTCAGAGTTTGGATGGATAAGGGGTGAGACAATGACTCTCGACGGGCGTGCTTATCTTGAGTATATAGGAGGACCGTCGTCTCCGAGATGGATGAGATTGATAACCAGCAATACAATACAAAGCAGAGTTTACAACACTAGCAGCTTCATCATCTGAAGTTCGCAACTCCTAATTCCTTCTATCCTGCTTATCAGAGTCACCTGATTTACTCTTTCACACAAATCGACACTTACAATGTCATTCCTGAAGAACTACATCGGCTTCGGTGGGGCTGCTGCACCTGCCCAGGATGAGAAGAACGCTGTCAGGGCCCTTCCCGCTTCCTGGTACACATCCCAGGAGATGTACGAGCTTGAGCGTCGCGCCATCTTCTCCAGGAAATGGCTCCTCATTACCCACAAGGCCAGAGTCCCTAAGCCGGGAGACTGGATCAAGTACAACGTTGCCGGCTACTCTTTCATCGTTGTTCAGGACCGCAAGGGCAAGATCAATGCGTTCCACAACATTTGCAGGCACCGCGCCTTCCCTGTTGTGACCGAGGATGGCGGCAACAGCTTCATGTTCTCTTGCAAGTACCATGGCTGGTCATACGGCCTCAGCGGCAACCTAGCCAAGGCCCCTGGCTACCAAGACCTTGATGGCTTCGACAAGTCCAAGAACGGTCTCTTCCCTATTCATGTTCACATTGACCGCAATGGCTTCGTCTGGGTGAACCTCGACGCCAACGAGCAGCCCGAGGTTGCTTGGAACGACGACTTCTATGGCATCGACGAGCAGGAGAGATTCCAGCACTACAACTTTGACGACTACGTCTTTGACCACCAATGGGAGATGGAGGGCGACTACAACTGGAAGATCCTTGCCGACAACTACAACGAGTGCTACCACTGCAAGGTGGCCCACCCCGACATTCCTTCTATTGCCGACCTCAACTCTTACTATGTCAACACCAAGGACGCCTACATCCAGCACTTCGGCCAGCCCACACCAGAGCAGATCGAGAAGGGCTTCCGTGTAGCTGCCACCTACTTCTGGCCCAATGCTTCCATGAACGTCTCGTAAGTAGACTCGGGCATTGAGCAGCAGCAGCAGATGCTAACAGACCCACAGCCCTCACTTCTTCTTCATCCAGCGCTTCGTCCCAAGCGGACCTGGCAAGTCAGCCATGAGATACGAAGTCTTCCGCAACAAGAACTCCAGCGATGAAGACTTCACCGTCATCAGTGACATGTACAAGCGCATCATGTCCGAGGACAAGTACCTTTGCGACAATGCCCAGAAGAACATCAACGCTGGCGTGTTTGTCAATGGCGAGATGCACCCGACCATGGAGAAGGGCCCTCTATTCTTCCAGTCAAAGGTCCGCGAGAACCTCACAGCCCACTTCAAGAAGGAGCAGGCACTCGGCGCCCAGATCTGGCCAGCCCAGCAACAAGTTCCCAAGACCGCCACAGCAAGCCAAGAAGACACCAACTTCTGCTCGGCCGTCGACTGCTGCAGGAACAAGAACAAAATGGAGGAGAAGAAACCACTATGCTTGGACGAGGCGATTGCTTTCTAATAGGGGATGAATGGGATGTTTAGAATGACTAGAGATGTGGGCATTTTATGAGGCATAGGATAGCATGGCATGTTATGATTGATTACATAGGCGATATTGTTGTTTTGGAACTTTATGAGGGGACCATCAATTGGTCGAATACAACCGTTTTTGATGAGAACTTGGCTCTAGCAGTTCATGAATATCGATGACCGTTTTATAAATGCTCGTAAATAATGTTGAGAAATTGGAAATTCCACGAACCATGAATAAGAACAGAACGGGTCTTTCCGAGGACGAGCTCGAAGAGCACATGCCGTCCTAGGCCAATGAAAAGTGTATTATGCTCGGCGTTCAGTCATTTCGCCGAAAAATACAACAAACGCTTTCGTCAACTTGTGGCCTGTGACCTCAGAATCTCGGGATATCGCAACCTCACCGAAGTAGATAAATCATCATTCCCAGGGCGACGCTGTCTTTCGTCGCTAAAACTCACATACCGATTCTGAAGAAGGGCCAGCCGAGGTCAAACATCTTCAATCAGCGACAACTCAATCCATGTCGTCGTAAGAGCACACGCCTCCATTTTGTTTATGGTGGCTCGTGCCTTTCAATTGAGTTCGCCAGCTTGAAACATCAAGCTTCTTCACTACCACCACCCCGTGGCCACGAATCACGGACTTTTGCTGGGAGCCGACGACGAAAGTTTTACGCTTCAGCCACCTTAGTTCTAGACCTTTCTCCATACTCGGTGCTGCGATGATGACGACTCAACAACCTACTGCCTTCCGAGGTCCAGCATCTCTCCAGGCTGCAAGCCGAATATTTGCATGGAGCATACGGCGTTATGGCACAGGTGAGCGATTCGCACGACATACAGACTTGTGCGCTGGGACTGAGTGATGATTTTCTGACGCAAAGAACCTCAGAAGCTTCCCGACACGTTCCACGCGAAACCAAATTGCGGCTGATGCCTTTGGGCGGCTCCGTAACCTTCGGCCAAGGATCAACGGACGGAAATGGATACCGGTGCAAACTCCGAGAACTGCTGATGGCTGACGGATTCAAGGTTGACATGGTTGGCTCCCGGAAAGTGGGGGCGCTGGGCAGTGCTCACGAGGGATGGCGTGGGTTCCGCGCCGACCAGATCGGTCAGAAAGCCAGGAAATCCGTGCCGGTGCACATGCCAAATGTCTTCACGGTCAATGCCGGATCAAACGACTGCCTTCAAGACTTTGAGATTGATCGAATCGGAGATCGAATGGGCCGCCTAATGGACTATTTATGGGCGGCAGCTCCGCGAGCAACGATCATCCTGTCAACTCTGCTTGTCAACGCGGATGAAAGAACAGAGAGGCGAATCCTCAAAGCGAACGATCGACTCCAGATTCTAGCCCAGCAGAAAATTTCGGAGCACCGGAGGCTAGTCTTAGCGGATATGCACGGTTCAGACGGACCTAGGCTCGATGAGTTGGTCGATGGAACGCACCCAACCGATGAGGGATACGGGAAGATGGCAACCATTTGGCACAGAGCCATCAGAGAGGCCGTGCAGAGGGGGTTCATCTGAAGACAGCATGAGAATGATTGCGGGAAGAGTCCGACTTTATTTCATTGATCCTCCGCCTTGAATGCCTCTCCCGGTCATTGTCTACATGATCTTGTTCATCACTGGGCAATGTCGACACCGGGCGCCCACAGAAACCCCAGCGCCCCCTTTTTAGCGCTACTGCAACATTGATGAAATGCCGTTGCGGCCGTCAGGGGGGCTTCCAAGGACCAATTGTCGAGTCGTGGGATCCCTGACGTCTCCACGCGGTGTTACGCAACACCAATAGTAGCTTGAAAGCGACATTTCCATATTTCGCTTAGACCAACGGCCTCTTGCCGAGCACTGGCTCAACGGCAAACAAATGTCTCACAAAAAGCAATTTCTTTCGTGTTTTTCTCGAGGTGAAGGAAGCTGAACTCGAAGTTTGACCTTGAAGCAAACGGCCGCGAGTGGCCAGAAGCCTCTATGGCTGTGTGGTGGGCCCATCCCCGCAGCTTTGCATGCAACTGCGGACGGGAATATCACGAATTCCAAGTTCGCGGGTGCATTCCGGCGACAGCAGCGGGCCTCCGGACCACTTATGTGGCGATCTAAATGAAACGGAGTAGTAGCCAAAGCGGGCAGAGAGGCCTGCTGTTTCCAAGCAAGATTTTCGATTATTAAAACTCCTGAGTGTTTACCATGCCATCCATGTCTCCCGTTTCTTGACTCTTTCTTGTCGCCGCCTTGGTCTTTTCTGCGTTTCTGCAAGTCATTCCTTTGATCAACTGCCTTCCACTCTTTTAAGTTTAAACCAGCGACGATCAGCTCGACCATCGATATCATCACTCGACTTCCGCTCGTTTAACCCGCAAAACCTAATAACCTAAAAAACCAAAAACCTCATTCACAATGGAAGCCGCCGTCCTCGCAACCCCGACCGTGCCCGTGTCGCCCATGACGATCACTCCGATCCCGACCGCGGCCGGTCTCGAGCTCCGCGACAAGCAGGTCGCGACGACCGTAGCTCTCACGACGACCTTCACCCCGCCCGCTCACTGCACCGAGAACCACCTGACGATGCTTGTCGGCGCGCTGGAGAAGATCTGGATCAACGAGCCTGTGCCCCTTCCCAACTCGACCATCACGTCATGCTACCCTACCGAATGGGTCAACGGATACTCCTCCGTCATGTCCAAGTCCAGCTCCATGGCACCCGTCATGAGCCCTCTGGTCTGCCCCAGCGGATGGAACACTGTTAGCAGCACCTGGTCAAGCGGCTACATCGCCTGCTGCGCTGAGTACGTCTGATTTCGTTCCTGGGTATCGATTTGAACACGCATGCTAATAATCTGAAATCAGTGGCTTCACCTTTGCTGCTCCCACTAAGACCGCCGACCGCGACCGTCCTGCCTACGGTGGAACCTGCTACAGCAACTTCGACCTCAGCCAGACCGCCACCGTCACCGTCTACAACCCCGTCGAGCTCTCCACCACCATCGCATGGGTCGCGACCACGACCCCAGCCCAGGCCTACAACCATCCCATCGAAGGTTTCGCTATGGACTACACACCGACAACATCGGCTGCCACGGCTCAAGAGTCAAGCGCCGGCACCCAGAACTCCGACGAGAACTCCGCGCCGAGGTCAGGCGGCAACTCCAAGGCGGCCATCGTTATTGGAGTCCTGCTCGCGAGCCTGATGGCGTGGTAATTGCCCGACCTTGATGAGCGGCCAGCCAAGATGTTACGACTTAATCTTTAATCTTCTACCAAGCACATCTTTACACATATACTTTACGACTTCGCTTCAAAACAGCTAGGGCTCATTCATGTTGCGACCGGCAGCCTGCCGCATGACACGAGTATGGATGTTCGTCTGTCGGGACAGGCCTCTTTGGGAATGACGGGTGCCAGGCTGTTACTGCACTGGGGATATTAACAGCGGACCAAGGTTTTAAGTGCTTTGGCAATTGTCATGAAAATTTTCATAAGGGATAGGGCGTCATCGAGCTTTTTGACCACTACGCATCCGACATGCCTTTACGCGTGATTAGCATGAAATTAGTGAAGCCTCATACGTGAACTAGAACGCCAACTTTGACCTAAGGTTGTAGAACCTAGCTAAGAAGCAGGCTCGTATTTGGTAATCACCATCGTTTCGATCGATTCGAGTAGCCAAGATCTGTGGATGGGGTACGTTGTCTTGGCAGGCCGTCACGATAGCTTCATGGACGTCTCGGTTGCCAGTGTCCACCACATACGACCATACCCATTGGAAAACTCGGGATCCCGTCCGCTCTCCCTTAGATAAACCAACGAGGGCTGGAGTAGTAGTCGGGTCGGTGACGACCGGCGAATGCCCGGTGTTGTATGTTTTTTGCTTGTGTTTTGCTTGAAATAACCGGAAGGCTGTCACAAGCCTGGGCTACGCCCATCCATGACGCATTATGAGTGTGCGTAAATGCAACTCACAAACCTAATGGATCCGTTTCTAAGCCTCTGTGTTTTCATACATGTCGGTCTACAAGTGTTGACGGCCAACTATTGTGAGATCACAGTGGTGGCGGACGTGAGATCGTATTCCCAGAATCGCGCTAATACACCGCGGCATCATTAGGTCCCCAAGTCCTTCAGCGATGTTTGGAGTGTGAGAATGCAAGTCTCAGATCAATTGAGATATAACTTCTTTTCAGCTCGTTGATTCAAAAGAGCAAGCGTCCATGCGGCTTATGCATGCCCTTGCCCAGATCAACTAACAGTGCTCTCTTCTTGGTTAGCTCAACGAATCCTACGGGACGGGCCGTGAGAATTGCGAATTTCCCGAGCTGTGGCTTTTATCGCCCCTCGTTCCCACTCACCCAGCGGACTTCCGCTATCAATGGATCTTGATACGAGGTTATCGGCCTATTATGAATACAGGGGCGGATCTGGTGATTGCTGCTATGTAACGAATCATCAGCAATCTTCAGCCCCAGATTTGGCCGCCACACGCGATCCTTTGCGTTGCTACCAGAGTCGGCCCAAGGACTACCAAGTTACCTGCAGCATCATGGAAAGACACCGTTCCAGCCTACCACGTGATTGTCGATGTAACATGCTGAATATGGAACGATGAGCTCCATGTTTTGATCAGCCTTTAGGATGCTGCAAATGCTCCGTCATTCTTCACAGACGCGTGGTGCGTTGAGTCAAAATAAATAGAAATTGGGGTTAACTTTGAATTATTATTGCCTAGGTATACATCGATAGGTCCCAGACCTCTTACGAATTACAAGTTTCCCAGCGCCCATTGAACTACCAAACAGACTGACCCGCCTCCTCGATTTTCAAATCTTGCAGCCTCAGAAATCGAGTCGAATCCGATGGGTACCTCTCACTCAGTGCCCATGGTAGCTGCCGCCATGTGCGATCCTCGACTGTCTTGATCGCTTGGAGTCCGCAGAGGCTACCGAGTGAAAGGAGGCATCGGACTTGTGACAATTAACTCCGCATTGGTGATTGTCTTCCTTTATGTGATTCAATTCGTGGTTGATATAATCTTGCTTCGTGTTGTGCACTCCCCTCTCAGCTCTCGACAGTCCATGGTTGTTACCGCCATTATGACGATCGTAAGTGACGGGACCAGTGTGGTGATCATACGTAGTGGGGTGGTAGCCGTTGCCGACGCTGTGGTGATCATACGTGTTAGGATGGTAGCCGCCATTGTTGTGATGGTCATAGTAGCCATTGCGTTCCCGAGCTTCTCGAGAGAGCCGCGAGTCCTTGGACGCCACCGACTGATATGAGTTGATAGACCTGTGGCAGTTCACACCGCAGTCATGGGTCTGTTGCTTGACGAGGTTGTCGCGATACTTCCAGTCATCGGCGGGTGTATTGTGTTCACCTCTTGAAGCGCGAGAGGACCTCGTGTAGCCGTTGTAGTCGTGGTGGTCATACGTTGTTGGATGGTGGTCGTATGTGTTTGGGCTGTGTCCAGCCACGTTCCTCTGGACGGTTGTGAGGTCATACTTTGGATACTTAGGAACGTCCTTCTTGTTGCGGTAGTCGTATTGGAAGTCATGGCCGTCGTAGATTCCCTTGTTGGCGCGGTTGGCACGCGAGACGCGTGATTGGTATGAGTTGATGGATCGGTGGCAGTCTACCCCACAATCGTTGGCATGAAGCTTTCTGAGGTTGTCTTGGTACTTCCACTCGTCTGCTGGTCCCAGAGGGGGTCGATAATCAGGGTCGACCCAGTCAGCAGAGGTGTCGCCTCTTGCTTGGATGCGGGGTTCTTCGTTTTCCTGTGCCACGGCTTCTGCTGAGTCGACGGCTTCAACCATGGTCTCACTCCTGGCCTTGATCTTGGTCTCTAGCCCGACAGCGTCGAAGACTAACTCAGACCTGGGCTTGATGTTTGTTTCCGGCTCAGCGACATCCATGACTGGTTCAGGGCGGGCCTCAATACTTGGCTCCTGCTCAATCATATCGTACATGGCTTCACTTCGGCGCTGGATGTATGGCTCCGGTGCGGGCTCCACAAAGTCGACAACCTCCTCGCTTCTGGGCTGGACGTATGGCTCTGGGGCCGGGTTCACAAAGTCGACAACCTCCTCGCTCCTGGCTTCAATCTGCGGCTCTGAATTCGTGAGGTCCATGTTGCTTTCGCTCCGGGCTTGGATGCGTGGCTCTGTATCAATGAAGTCATCGACAGACTCCTCATTCCTGGCGTTGATGATTGGCTCTGAGTCCATGAAGTCCATGGCGTCCTCACTTCTGGCATTGAGGGTAGACTCCACGTCGACCTTGTCAACGGTGATGCCGCTCCTGGCTTCGATGGGTTCAGCGTCCATGGATTCGACTGAAGTCTCGTCCTTGAAAGCATGAACAGGGGGGTGAAAGAAGCCCGGAGGCAGCGCGACGGGTATTGCAGAGACGCTGGCTGTGAGGCCAACTAGAATGAAGGTGCTTAAGTAACGCATATTGAGAGTGTGCTTGTGTGTGGTATTCAAGAAGATGTGAGTTGAAGTGAGCTGGGTGAAGTTTGACTGAGGTGGCGATGAGAGAATCAGGCCGTGGTGTGGTGCTAGTCATTGACCAGTCAAATTGGCTCGAGGGATGGGATTATGAGAGACGAATGTGGGCAGAAACACTTCAAGCTTTATACCCGTGCGAAGCGAACAACAACGAACCATTTCCACATGCTTTTCTGATCCATTTGAACGAGAACCTGAGGGGAACGCACGAAATAACTCTGCAGTCGGGAAGAGAATCTCATGATCACTCCCGCTCTCACTCACCGGCCTCCTCGGGATGTGAGACGAGGAATACGCTGCTTGGAAAATCTATCGTAATCGTGAGTCAACCTTTGAGAATCTTAGCAGGAACTTTGAGTTGAGCTAGATGAAGAAAATTCAGGTTTTGACTTCTGGGAACTGTTGAAAATCCTTATGCGAAAAATGCGGCAACTGAGAAGATCGACGATGACTACATGCTGGGTATAGGGACCAAACCGAGTTGACCTCGGTCTGGATGCGGTCTAGGGTAAGGGGCATCCAGGAACCAACTTGGTCATTGTGAGTTGGCAAGCTTCGGGTATACGCAAGCGTCTTTTGTATTTCGACCTGCTGTGCATGCTGCGCATAATACCAACAAGCTTACTTAACATTAAAGCGCAGGGCGAAAATAGTCCGCCCCTCACCGTGGTGGTGAAGCTAAGTAAAGTCAAATAATGCGGTTTGCGAAAAACACGATATAGTCGGCGACCTGGGCTAGGGAGGTCTTGGATAGGAATGCGTGGTGCAAAGCTTAGAACATGTTATCCGGTTCACGCCGTGAAGGAGAACTCATCCTTGCTCACTAGGGCGCAAATCCCATCGACTGATTGCTGCAGAATATCGCATTTTCTAACCTCGGAGAATACTTGAGAACCTTCCCAATGTGCCGAGCAGAATTCAAGGAGATCAACTCTCAGCTTCCCGATTTAGTTCGGGTGTGGAAAGAAGTCGGACATGCAGCAATGAGCTCAAAGACTGGACGACTCTCGACTGATGGGAGCAGCATCGTTTAGCTGCATTCTCTTTGCTCCTCTAAAGGCTCAGCTATCTGATCCGAAGTGCGATGTTTCAGGTCAGATGTCGTTCGTTAATGACATTCCGTCGTTGTTGAGTTGACGTGCTGACGGGGATCCGGGATAATGGAACCTCTGCAGATCATATAGGCGAAGCGAAAGCTTCCTACACGTGGGTTGCATCCTCGTTCAACCGCAGAGCCTCGGTGACCGAGACGGCCTCCATGTTCCATCCCGACCCAAGGGAGGTTTGCCTGCCGGGTGTCATATGTCGTGCAGCCGTTTGAGAAATGTGTTGTTAGGAAGTCTTTCGAGCAGTTGAGTCGATCGATTGTGATGGCTCAGGGTTGGTAAGGTGCCGTGACTCTGGCGAACGATAATATCGAATCAGTAATTTAGGGACAGCTCCCTTGGTAAGTTTCTGAAGCTAGGATATGAACTCTAGAGAGAACATGCAGCATCCCGGACAATAATAGGAATGGTGTCGATCATACTGGACCTTCCCGAGCACACTGACTTCCGAAAGGAGCCTTGGCACATAAGACCAGGCCCGTCGGAAGAGGGGCATTGGGCGGGCTCGACTTGAGAAGCTCGAGAGCACCTGATTCTTCGGACGGTCTCAACAGCGAGGAACCCGGGGAGCCCCTCACCCAGCATAAAATGGGAAAGATTTCACGAAGGAGAGAACCGCTCGGGGGAGATGCCGAAGGCGGAGCTGTTGAGGATGCGCGTTCGACCAGGCTGTTGAGCATGGGGTATGCTTGGGAAGCAGAGCCAGAGCTGGAGCTTAAGAGGATGATAGTCGTCATAGGTTCCTGAAGGAACCCGACGAGTTGGGCAGATTCCCAATCGCGGTCGCTCGGAGATTTAATGGTGCCCAGGTGCTGGGTAGTAGATGGGTAGCAAACTCTAACCTTGTTGTTCCGTGGGATAGAGGAGCTGGAGACGCGTGTACAGCCAAGGATTACTCGCGTTGGGAGAGCGGATATTTACGAACATGACTTGGCTCAAGTCCGCGGATAGACGAGGTGGCGGCAGACCCGGGACGCCTTCCTGCAGACGATACTGCCGAGAACGAGATTGAGCTTGATGCCCCTGACGATCCGCTTGAGTTCACGTAATAGCCAAGACGTTCTTCTTTCCGCGTGGTCAAGCGCGCCGTCAAGCATCATTTCCACGCGGCCAAGCGACGTCTCTAAGCTGCCAAGTTTGCTTGGCTCAATGCTTTCGAGATGATGCAGAATCATTACAAAAGGGACGCCTGACCTCCTGTTACGGAATCGAGGAAACACCATCCTCTACACATCTTCTCGACGGAACGAGACATCGCAAACAAAATACGCTCTCGTTGATGTTACTCAGCGTAGGACAACACTCACTGCTCAACAGAGGCCGCCCTTGCAGGACACGTCGACCATTCGAACTTTGTACGATCCCGATCGAAGCTTCCTCGCCGTCGGTCGAACTCTGCTTGGTTCTGTAGTCAAATCACCCCACGTAGTTACCACAACTTCGTGGCCGCTAAGACCCCACCCCACATAACCGATCACCCCCCGTTCCCGATCAGCCGAATCCGGAAACAAGGACTTAAATAGAAAGTATAGTTTTAATAGTAAATAAATAGAAATAAATATTTTTAAAAATATCTACTATATTATTAGTATATATAATAGAACTTATATTTTTAGCTTATTTTTAATATTTATTTCTAAATAGTTATAGTTAGTTTAAAAAGTACTTTAGATTTAAGTATTTATTTCTTAGTAAATTTTAATACTTAATATTTCTATAAATAATAACTATTTAATTATATTATAAATTATAATAATTCTTAGAAAAATATAATTATTTATAATAAGCTTAAAATATTAATTTCTATAAAATAGTTATATAGATATTAAAAGTACTTAAATATTTATAAAGAAATATTTTAATATATTAATATTAAAATAAAAGATAAATCTAAAAAATAAAATAACTATATAAATACTAACTCTATATTTTAGTTAGAATTATACTAATTTTTATTTAGTTTATTAATATATATATACTAAGTTATTTAAATATTTTAAGTATTAAGGTTTATATATAAATTCTTAGAAAGAACTAACATTTTTACTATAGTTTACTATATACTAAATAAATCTATACTTACTTAATAACGAATTTTAGAAATATTTTATTTAAATTTTCTATATAATAAAATATAAGTATAGAAATTTATATAATTTTATACTTAGTACTTATAAGTGCAGAGAGCTAAGAATAAACTAGGATTTTGGTGTAGTACTACCTAATTCAGCTGATCGGTTATGGGGGCTGATCGGTTATATGGGGTTAGGTCTTAGCAAGCGGGCGCACTACGGAGTGAATTCTTGCTTTCCGGCCGCCGGCAAGACGATGTCCAAACCGAGAGCGGAACAAATTGCGATGTCGACGATTGCGATAGCGAGTAATTTTCCGACTCTATTTCTGCATCATCCTCGTGTTGGTTAGCCATGGCGGAAGAACCGGGAGAATTGTCCCTCTTCGTCCCATGTATTGGAGGCCCAATATGGCCGTGCCAGCTGTCATGGGGTTCAGGAGCTTACGCACTGACTTGAACAACCCCTCAGGATCAATCATGCCTCGGTCAGCCTGGCAAGGATGGAGCTTCTCGTTTTCTCGTCGTCGGAACCCGCTCCGGTGTGCCTTGGTTTGAGCTCCTGCTCAGCGTGCATGATGTGCATTGCTTAGGCCCGGCAATACCTTCCAGTCTCGACCGACCACATTACTTATTTGCTGGGGAGAAGCAGTGACCCTCGTCGAAACCCCTTATTGGGCGGGCTTGAAACTTCTTTAGAATTTGCTAGAGAGAAGAGTTGGCATCTCTATCAGCGTGGCCTGGCTGGATTGCCACGGCCGTATGCCCTGCAACTCAGTTGCATGCGATGCAATACGCCGTATCCATACCACCTGTGATCTAGCGTACGCTGATGGCTAGCGAAATCACTGGAACTTTCCGAAGCTCGTAATTCGCCAGAGGCCGTCTGATTCTTTTCCCTTTCAAACTTTCTGGTAAGAAAGGCACGGATTGCAGCTTTTGCTTTTGTGTTGCTCCCTATTCCCTGTGACCTTCTGTATGGGTAGGAATTTTCCAACCATGTGCCGGATTGTAGCACTTTCCACCTGCAAGAGATCACGGATCGACATCGTGAAGAAAAACTTGTTCCTTCCCTTTTGGGCCATGCTGCCGCTCTTTTGTTTTCTTCCCTATTCCACGTTGCCGCTCCTACTTCATCAGAGTTGATTCTAGGGGCGGTTTAGCTTACATCGAGTCAGTTTTCCGTCGGGAAGTTTTAATATTCTCCTAGAGCATATCTGTACGATAAAATGCAATTTTGACTATCGTTAGCTTCAACTATGGCATTGGGAAGCACATGTGATTTCTCACAAATTGATATATCAGCAGTCGAGAATCTCGATCAGTTTTGCAATGACGGCAAAGATCTACGATCAATTCCACCGAATATGCGAGGCGGAATAAGTCTGTCGAAACTTGATACCCGACGAACTGGAAAACAGTACGTTCTGTCGACAATGGCAGAGTATGTGCCTTTTCCTCGGTCCAGCTTAGACCACACGTTCATGTGTAAGTAGCTGGAGGTGTAGAGGAAGCTGCGGTATCATCCTCGCCAGGTTCCGTGCGCAGTTGAGTCGCCCTGGACCGCCACTTTTGTTTTCACCTCCAGCTTTTGATGAACAGGTACGTGCTAGACGGCGACCGATTTTCTCATTCACTGCTCTTCCATTTACACATTGTCGCGGTCAAAGGGATGAAAATGTAGTCGCTGTCAGTCGCCAGCTGGTCAAGTCTGCCTAATGGGTATTGCTTAGATCTTCTTACTGCCAGTCGCCACTTGCCAATCTCTA